GCTGCTGGGCCCTTCCTCGCCGCGGCTGGTGCACGGCGTGGCCCGGCCCGGCCAGAGCTCCGCAGCGCCGCTCCTGCCCGGATCCCGCTCTCGGCCTGGCGGCGTTAGCTTTTGGGAGCGGGCTCTTCGGCAGGGTCACCACTCTGGTTCGCTGTTCTTCAGCAGCGCCTCCGGATGCGCTGCCATTTGGTTCTGATAAATATTAAACGCTGCGCCTCCCGCAGCTTCGATCGTGTGCCCTTCATCCTCAGAAAAGGGAGACTGAAAGCACACTTCCCATATTTATTGCTTCAGGAAGAGCTTCTTAGATGGCTCAGCATTCGTATTGATCTGCTTCAAACCCAGCTGGGAGACCAGCAGCGCTCCTTTCTGACGCTGGGATGCAGTCCTCTTTAAACATAATGAGGTAGAAGTAGTCTGACTGATGAAGTTCAGCCTCCGAAATTCAGATTTCCAAGTCACTGCCTCTTTGCACAGCGCATCGAAAAGTGAGACGCTGTCAGACAAACTCAGCTTGTTCCCCTGGATTTGACCTGGATTCTCAGCTTTGGTCCATCACCTCCGCGTTGCCAGATCGCGGGGAGCTCGCTCTTCAGACAATGACTACTGCTGCCACGCTATTACTATGGTGAGCACATCCTCCTCCCATTCGTGCTGGCGAGCAGGACACAGCCATTTGTCTCTCCCCTTCTCTTCTGCTATTTGCCACTGCTTCCCTCTGCTCTGTGATCTTCAGTGTGATTCCTCATCCCACCTGCTAGAGCTTCTTCCTGCAATTACTGACGGGAGACATCTCCTCTTCACACCAGCTGGCCACCGCGCTCACTGCCACAGGTTGCTGCAGAGGTCAAAAGGAGAAGCGCGTTGGAAATGGAGTGACGCAAATTCAAACAGCACATTCATTCACCATCAGCAGCTAATAGCGACACAGTCCAGACGCTCGGCAGGCCTCAGCTTCAGACGCTGCAAGCTGCACGTGTGTTTCTCTCTCTATATGCTCTGTTTATCTGCTTTTTCCCCAGGGCCTCCACTAATGGCCACACCATATTGGGACAGAAGGATACTTGCTCTGACAGATACAACCATTCCTACGGGACAGCGTGCACAAAATAGGCCTCACAGGCAAAGGGCAGGAGTGCAGCAGGGGGCCTGAAGGGCCCTGGATTTCATGTGCCGTTACTGTTTCTCTTCCTGTCAAGGAGAACCAGAAACCCAAATCTGAACATTTTGGAAACACTGAACACTTTGGAGACATCCAAAATTCAGACCTGGACACTGAGGCTCGAGCTCGTCTCTGGCTGGAAGGAGAGGGATCTCTTGGTGCCGGGACGAGGAAAGGGTGTTTGCAAGCAGGGGCTGGGGGGCTGAGGCTGCGGCGGGGCAGCGAGCCGGGGGCATCGCGCCCAGGGCTCAAAGACCCGCGACTCCAGGTGCCTCTGGTGCCACGTGCCCCACCCGGAGCAGCTTTCACGGGGTGACTTTCAGAGGACAGGTGCTCCACCGGTTCTGAAAAGTCTCCCTGGCCTGTGCCCCTGTGAGATCTGCATGCCCCTGTGATTTCTGGCCATGCGTCTTAATAACGTGTGGCTCATTTCTTAAACATAACTTATTTACAGTGAGTTTCTGCCAAATGAGCACTAGCTTTGTAACCACTGCGAACCGTGGAAGAGCATGTGGCCGTCAAGTGCAGCCAAGCTGTGGCGAAGAGCCAGTACTACCTATTATGGGTTTTATATTGGAGTTTTACTCCAAATAAAGAGAGACCCGTCAGGGAATCTCTGTCTGCCACTGATGCCTCAGCCTGACTGCAAATAAACTGCTGCTCCGTCAAACAAAGAGCAGCGTATCACCTCCACCGAAGGAACCGTAGGTGGCATGCAAGGCCAGCTTACAAGGACGCTCTCCCCATCCGACTTTGTTGTGAGCCATTACTGTCTGCATTTCAATTGCGTCTGGGCTCTGAGCACCAGCCACTCCTGGGCGCAGGGGCGAGCGCTGCTGCCCGCCGGCTGGCTCC